AAATTCACTCTCTACATTTAACCCAGCCCTTTGGGGAGCAGTGGACTGCCATTGTGCAGCGCCAGGGGAACAGTGTGGGGTTAAGGGTTTTGCTCAGGGACTCAGAGGATCGAACCGGGTACTTGCAACCTTCCCAGAGCACAAGCATACTGCTCTAACCATGAGGTCAACACTCCCACCAAATATGATATGCTTACATATAAGGGTATTGGATGTAATCAGAAAAGGTTTACTGTGTGCCAAGACCAGAAGAGAAGTGGACGATATGACACAGAGGAACAGTGGGAGAGAGCAGGAGATGATGGAACGGAGGAAATGGAAGAATGCGAATTTGTTGAGGCTGCAGGGAAGAGTGGTGGGATCTCTCTCTGATGGATTAGAGAAATGCTTGGGAAATGGAGGAAAAAAGGGGAAGAAGAGTGTGAAGGGGAAAAAAGCTTTTTGTCCTCCTCAGGGCAGCTCCAGACTCTAGTATCATTAATGTAGTAGAGGGAAGCGTTTTCGCTGAGAACAAGCTTTTATTCAAAGGCCACCTGTGGGCATTGGAGATAAAGAAATCAGGCAAGAGATAGAAAAAGGGATTGAGAGAGGGACATGGTGACACTGGGGATAAGGGAGTGGAATGTGGACTTTTGTAACCATCAGTGGAAAGATAGAAAGAAGTACATCAGTATGAGTCGATAAAAGCAAAAGTAATAAGAGGCAAAAAAAAACTACTCAAACTAGATTTTAAGACCAAGCCTTTCTGACTGTTGATCTGTCTGACATTTTTTTTTTGCTTCAGTAGTTGTTTTTTTGTGCTTGTAAAAGAGTTTATATATCAACAAGAGATAAGAAATGTTTTCTCCATAGTTCATGCCAAATAAAAGTCTGCCCAGCTGAAGTAGGCTTCCTGCTGTAACAATATTCTGTGGTATATTGCTTGGCTCTCACAGAACCTTCTTATGTTATTCATCCTAGTCAGATTCCTTTGTCTATCTCTATCTGTTCAGCACACAGTGAGACGAGACTGGAAACAAAGACTCTAATTAGCCAAGCAATTAGACTCTTGTTTTGTGCCCTTTCCTCATCCTTTGAGCTACATACTAATAGCTGCCTTCTTCTCTTCCATCACTTGATTGTCCTTCACTTACATTTTTAGGTTTTTAAACCCCTTTTATACTTTAAATTCTATACAAATTCACATCTTAGAGCCAATTTGCTTTAATTTGGTTTTCATTTTCCAAAGAAAGCAATTAAATCACTATTTATCACCTTCATCCTTTTTTCAGCCAATCTATTTATCCCCTTTATCCAGAATCAGCGTCCATCTAACTATCCAGCACACACACAAAAAGACTCTTTCTTTTTCTCACTGTCTTGCAAGTAAAACAAACAATGTTTAGCAAAACTGACAATATAACACATGGCACTTCTGCTTTCATTTACTTACTCTATGTAGGAGCCATTTACCTTAATTTTCTGTGTTTATCTCCACCAGGGGATGCATTTCCTTTAGTGCTTTGATTATGTTGGAAGGGGATGGGGTTATTTACGGACAAGTGTCATTCTGTTTAGGTGTTATTAAAAGAGACCAGGCAAACCGTTTTCTACTATGATTATATAGAAGTTATGCTGGTTTATTTTGTTGTAAATGGAAATGGAAATGGAAAGACAATGAAAATATGAAAATATATGGCTTCAAGCATAACTCCAGAGCAAGGCTTTTTTTGGCTACTCTATAAAGCTTGGAACTCAACGCTAATTCTGACATTTTGAATTGAAAATGCTTCCTGGATGGGAAGCAAAAGTCTTCAAACTTGGAAATCAAAGTCCAGTGTTTTTTTGTTTTGTTTTTTTTTTTTTTACTTTTTTTGGACTAACTCCAAAGAAGATCTGCATATTCTTGATTGAGTGCAAGTAAGGCCAAAGCCTACCAAGAGAGAAAGCAAGCAGTAGAAAAAAAATCTAAGATTTTTATTGAACTTTATTGATCTCACAATGGAGAAATTTACCTCTGCATTTAATCCATCCCCTTGGGGAGCAATGGGCTGCCATTGTGCGGTGCCCGATGAGCAGTGTGGGGTTAAAGGTCATGTTCACGGACCCAGAGTGCAGGCTGTGGGGCTCAAACCAAGTACTTGCAACCTTCTCAGAGCACAAGTGTAGTGCTCTAACCTCTAAGCCAACACTATCCAACAAGCCGCTACAATTTAATTACGGTAGTTATTAAATAAATATGATTAAATAAGTCATACATTTTTCCTTTGTCATACTTATATATGAGAATATTTCCACCATATTTAAAGTCCTCTATTGTTGCACCACAAGCTCATGGAGGCCAGCAATCATTTAAATTGTAGTGATCATCACATTTTAAACTTCACTTACAATTTCAGTTTTAATATATATGTAATTTAAGAAAACATTTAAAGCTTCAATATTAATAAAAAGTCTCATTAGCTTAACAGAGTTGGTGTTTGCTGTTAAAGTTAACTTAACTACCCATTTTAAAAAAATTAGAAACATATAGTCCTGTTTGCTCAGTTCCTCTCATTCTTTCACCAGATGATCTGTTTGTCTTTTCTACTATAGGTGAATTGCATCAAATATCACTCCCAAGCTAAGACGCAGATTTTTAGATGGATCAGAGTTCCCTTTTTTGGTCTGCGACCAATTTTTTTTTTATTTCCAACCCTAGCCCTCTGATGCATGAATTATGAAAGTCTTGATCAAGATTTTTTTCTCAGGGTTTTTTCTTATTCTTAGGACATGAAAAAAAATGTTTAACTTTTTTTTCCCAAAAATATTGTTGTTTCATGAAGTTACAGATATGTCCACTGGAGTGGACTATGCGCATATGAGAACTCAATATAAAATATTATGAATTTATAAAAAAAAAAATAATGATCTAGTATTCTGTTGTAAAAAATGCAGACCATTGATTCATTTTATGCTTTGAAAAATATTTCAATATGTTTTGTTTAATTTTTTACATTATAAAGGCACTAAGTTAAGAACCGAATAAGGAAACCAATGACACTCATAGCTTACTGAAGTGACTGAAATTCCTCAGGATCTGCTGCTGCCTTGAATGTCTCCTGAAGTGTACTTAGGAAGGGTCTTACAATGGGGAGCCTATATGTGTTTGCTGGGCGGTAAGGTTTCACTATAGAAACCATAGAATTAAAGAGATATTTACTTTGTAGTAGCTGTCCACTACAGTGACCACTATGCACCAGAGGGCTAGGCTAGATCAATTCAGAGTTGAGGATTTGAGTTTTTGTTAAACCTGCTTTGTGAAATGGGCCAGAATAAAAACCAAGGACCATTCATACTGCAAAGAAGAAAATGCTAATAATTTCCAAACAAATCCAAAGTCTAATAAAGGCTTGTGATGTTCCTGAAACACAATAGAATATAGTAAGAGATAACAGTTACATAAAGTAAGACTCCAAAACCAGCATAAGTCAATCAAAGATGTAACAAATTACCAGTTTTAATACTGCTCTGTTTGTAAATTCACTTGATTTGGGGAAAGTATCATTTATTTATCTTTTAGGCATGGATTAAGTGAAGTTAAGGTTTAATAATTGTGTTATGTGTATATTTCTATTAAGGGCAAGTAGGGCAGCTAGGATCATATAATGACACTTAAGTTAGTTAAGTGAAATTTCAACAGCTATACAGAGAGATATTTCCTGTCTGACCTTCATAGAATACTTTCACTGCTCTCCTGCACCTACAGTGATTTATTGGCTCCACAGAACGTTTGTCAGTAGGATGATAGAGAGGAGTTTATGCCCGGGGCAACACATGACTATCTCCACATTGGCCTGTGTCCTACGCTTTCAGCTTAGCCCACCATACAAAAGGAAAAATGCAGCTTTACACAGTAAAACATGTTGATTTTGATCCATCCTTTTAACTTTTATCAAAGCAAGAAGAAGACAGATGATAGTGCCTCGAATCAGGCCATAGAGATGAAATTTAATTGCTCAAAAGACTGTTAGAATCTAAATATTTACAGGAAATATAATTTCTCTTCTTGTTAAATTGCTGTCTTTTTGTCTGGTGGAGCATTTGATCTGCTTATAGATAAACTCACAGAAGTGAAGCTTTTGGGTTATCACTGTGTTTCTGTCTGTTTTTGAAGTTAATGTTGTGTGGAGCAGCGCAGTATCTTTCATTCCATAGTCAAAGTCTGTCCAAATAAATCAAAAGGGCTTTTATATAAATGAGCCATTGTTTGCTTTTTTTGTGCATGTCAAATTGATATGGGGAAATGGCATACATGGTGAACCTATAAATTATGTTCACAGAAAAAGCTGCAAACTGCATGAGAGGAAATTTATGATTTATTTGGAGCATGGATTTTATTCCCTACTGGCTCTAAAGGAGTGTTTTTATTAAGGATTCAAGGCTTATAAAGCTGCTGCTTACTCTCATCTTTAACCATCTTCCCCTTTGCAGAAAGTCATTTTCTTATCACATCTTCCTCCATTCTGTGAGGTGATTACCAGCATTTTAGAGTTTTAGAGTGAAGTTGTTGGCTTTATACATTTAAAGGCCCTATAAAATATTTTATTAGGGCTTTTAAATCATACAATTCCATAAAGATCATAGATAAATAATATAAAGACCTTTATATTTGTTTCAAAATATCAAATGTTAGGGTATTGTTTATGCTCAACTGTAACAAGAGCAAGTCGCATCCATTTAAAAGTGTGTATAACAAAACTTCCGTGTAAATGTATCTCTATCAACTGATTAAAGATTAAAAATCTAATAAGAATAAATTATTAATATAAAATGCGTTTTATGTTATTAAAATATATATTGTTAAAGATAAAAAAAAAGGTGCATTCGGAGACTGTAAATCTCTGTACGGGGATGGGTGGCAAGCCTTGTTAAACTTTTTCTTGATCCATTTGTATTTTATTGTGATTAAAAAAAGGTATTGTTATATAGTCTAGTCAGATTTCAATCTAACAATTAATCTTTTTGTTTTTTTCCTTTAGCCTGATCTCATCCAGGCGATACTATTTTGAGATTCTTCACAAGCAGGATGACAAGGGGTCAGATCATGTGGAGGTTGGGGTAAGTTTAGTAAATGCTTTTTTTCCATCCATGTCTTATTGTGCTAATAAGGTTTTTGTTTACATACTGTACATGCTTTCACTACTCTATAGAAAACATGACTCTCTGGAAGAAAAAAAAAAAGTTTCAACTTTGTACTCAATATGTTTGCTGTATTTACGTGTACATACTGCTAACTGTGTGCCGATATGTATTGACCTTATTTAAAGGTGTAGTGGAGGATTTCTGCAACTCTTTGAAAAGACCCACTGTCTCCACTTAAAAAAAGCATGCACATGCACAACCCTGTACCCGCTCCCTATTAAACACGTGCGAGAGCATGCACAAGCCCATTTCTCCTCATGCACGCTCTGTTTAAAAGTTGCTGTTTGCATCGCTCATACAAGCTTACTTTCCAAAAGAAGATTTGCAAGTTTTCCACTATGTCAGACTCACCACCAGTAAGTGAAAATGGGGACGAGCACGTAGGACAGCCTTAAGTAAACATATCACCAGAATGATTGACAGTTAGGAGGACCACTTATTTTGATGATCCAACCAAGAATAAGAACATCCTCCACTATACCTTTAAGTAAGGCCTTATCAATACATTTGAACCAGTTTTTCATTTCTCTGTAAAAAAAAAACAAACATTATATTTGCGAAGAAATATCCTGTTTGAAACACTTAGCTGAAGAACACAGATGGCAAATGCCATTTGCAATATTTTAGGCAGAATAAAAGCAAAGTTCTTCGTAAATACAACTTATTGTGCAAAGTGACTGAGTCTCATGAAGGATCCCTGCATAGTTGTTGGACAGTAAGTGGAGACCTGACAATATCACAACAAGTAGATTAGCAAATAGCAGTTTACCCCTTTATGTAAAATTAAAACTAAAAGCCTCATGTTGCTCAATACCCTATTTGGTCTCACTTATAATGTTAAAGAAAACAGAACACAGTATCTTTAAGATATCTATTATTTTCCCTTTTTTAAATTATTTTGTCAATCGAGTACCTTCGCTTTTTTTATCCATCTCTGTTTCTTTTTATTCCCGTCTCTCCAATGCACCATTTTCTCTGGCGAGTGGCGTCTCCACCTTAGGCAAAGCTCCAAGATAAGTGGAACTTTACTTCAGGAAGTGTCAAACAAAATCCCACATGCCTTATATAACCTTTTACCCTGATTGTGTGGGCTGGTGGTAAAAAGAGATCATTTATGTGGGGATACAGGATATATCATTTAACCAGGTTCAGGTTATAGTAATCAGTCGGTACATAACACCAACGGTAGCTGTGTGACAGCTGGTCTTACTCTATATTCTTTTTTAACAACCTGACAATTAAAGTCATGCTATGTGGATTCATATAGACCTTATTGCTTACAGTCTCCTTGCGACATTTTTCACCTCCACTCTTTCCTTTTTTATTTGTTAGGTCTAAGAATCAGTGCCTTATTATTGTTGGTTTTCTGTGTTTCTTATCTTTGATTGGGGTGATGAAAATTTTGTGGGGACATTAAGATAATATTCTAGTCAAAGCTGCTTAAGAGTTTGTAAACAGTTTGTGATTTAATTGTTGTTCTGTGAAGGCCTCAAGTTTGTTAGAGTATTCGTGAACACAGGTTCAGTTACTATTTGTGCAATCCACAAATCTTGGCAAGGCAAGAAAAAAGTCAGAAAAAATAGAGGTGTCCCACTCGTCATATAATAGATTGAGCTAATATATGGAGGGTGTGCTTGTCAAATGAGATCAATGGTGACTGCTCATTACCCGGAGCACACAATCCCCATGGTGAAACATGGGCAATGACATGCTGCAGGGATGCTGTGCTTGAGCAAAGATGGAAATGCTGGTAATGAGAAAGTTGTTTAGGTTAAATACATGGTGATCCAGGAGGCAAATCTTATAGATATTGCAAAAAAAGTAACACTAGGATGGAGGTTCACCTTCCACCATAAAAGCGTCATTACACATACAGAAACAGCAGGAATAAATTACCTAAAACTGTTAAATTATTACATTCTGTTCAATACATGATAAGTGCTTTAATTAAGAGTAATTTTCATTTGAATGTGCTTTACTGGAGGCATCCATGTTTGTCACAGAACACTACTGCCACCTACCAGTTTGTGAAGTCACGGTGCGGTATCGGCTGTTGAACAAGTCCCAGTGCTGTATCTGGTGTTTGTCACAATGCACTATTATCCAAGACATCTTAAAAACATTCTTCCTCGAAATATTGGCTACATATTACGTGTTTTTTCTCTGGCCAGAAGTTTGATAGCAAATCCTCCCTCTTCAAATTGGCAATCCAACCACAAACCGGTGGTGGACCATGAATCAGAAAGGTGAAATAACGATTTTTTCTTTTCACTTCTACCCGATGTATTAAAACATCCAACTGCCATGCACGTGGACATTGTCCGTTTAACTATAGCTCTCACGAATTGCAATGGTGAAGTCCTCTTGAAATCTTAAATGATTGTTGTTGATCGCGGTGGGGGGCTAGTAGCTCCCATTGATTTTGCTTGTAAAGCAGGCAGAATGGCGCTCGGCTTACCGTACCGTTACGTCACTCCTGGAAGATGTCAGGAGTGAGGCGTTGCTCTATTTGGACGAAAATGGCTGGTCTCTGACTCAGTGATCGTGACAGAAATTATTTTCATTTTTTTACTGATAAATACTAAATTCATTAAATCACTGCAAACCTATTAGTTTTAGGTATAGATAATGATCAATTGATTATCCCTTGCTGACCGGACTTTCCTTTAAAGTGTTAAAATGGCCAGGAATAGAAAACTGGCTTTAATTTAGTTCACTATTCTTAAATGCTCTCCATTCACTGCTGTGGAGTTTGAAGGGCTTTACAATGAAAAATAAGCACATATTCTATTTTCAGGATGTCCAAAACTAGTAAATGCATAATCATTCCTTTTCCTACAACTCATAATATGCAATGATGTGTGTTGAACTAAATCAAGAAAACTAACAAAAAACAGGAACTGTTATTATAATGCATCAAAATGTGAAAAGGTATAAGCATTTATAGTTGTTTTTTATAACATTTTTACATGGACTGTATACAACTCTCTGCCTGAGTCTCTAGAATAAGCAGGTCTGATCTGAGGTTTCTAATAAGTTCACAGCTCAATGTCAGTCCTTTCTATCATCTAAGCCAGGGGTCACTAATTAATAATCAGTGGGGTCCAAGTATAGAAAATCATCAACCAGTAAAGGTCCAAAGATATTTTTAATTATAATCTGTTACTTTGAACAGAATTTATCACTGAAATAAAATGAGGTTTTTATGCCTCCATGTTATACATTTCATTTTTAAATAAAAAAGTAGAAAAAAATAGAAGCATTTTCCATTTTAAAATCTAAAGTGTTTTTTGAAGTAGAGAATAACAATCGTTCAGTTTGGTATATAGACAATTTCCTGATTCACATATTTCATAAAATAACTGCACTGACCGTTTTTTTTTAACTTTTTTTATGGCTTAATGAGAGCAGTGGGCTTTACGCTGACCTGCAAGGTTTTAAACCTGGGGTTGATTAGCGACAAAGCCATTCTCAAGCACATATCAAGGTGCTCATTTTGATGCTCCGGAAGGCTTTACGATATTAACCTGAGAAGTGGCGCAAGTGAATTTAGACACTGTCGTTGGCCATGCAGTAATTTATAAGTGTTTTAAATTAGGTTGGGTCCAGATTAGCCAGCAGGAGGGTCCAGATCTGGACTGCAGCCCGCTAATCCGTGACCTCTGATTTAAGCAAATAGCCCACCCTTCAAACACTAGCTGAGGCATTTAATATCAGGAAAACAGATAAGGACATTTTTGTCCATGGCAGTGGTGCAAATAAAATTTTGCCACACTCTGTAAACGGCAGATGTTCCTTCCTATTGCTGTGAGGTGAATTGAATTATAACCGCCATTCTGTGGCTTTTCCACAGTGAGCAGTACATTCTTCTTAACAAAGATTTCATCGCTGTATCTTTCTCTACTTTATCTATCTGTCAGGCTGTTGTCGCAATGAAAGCTTGTCTCACATTGCATCTTTGTGGCGCTGTCAGCAAAACAGACTTATGGAACACATTGAGAGCAGTATTTGTCGTTTAATGTTGCAGCAAGAGTGAGTAGATGAATGTCGTATGTAGCAAATCAGTTGCATGTTCTAGCTGCAATTCAGCAGGCTATGTTAGCAATTGGCTGAGAATCACTTATCTAGAATGCATGTCTGATCCCCTTAAGGCAGATTCTACTTGTGGAGGGGTGCTACTGGAAATAAAAAAGAAAAGGCCTACTGATAAGTCATTTTAGCAGCCTTTATTAACTAAACATGGCACAATAGAATGGAATTGAAATGTTCCTGTTTGCCCTACAGTGGGTAAATTAAGGAAATTTAAATCAAATCCACAATTTTCGCTATGCAATTATTTCAAGGTCATTCTTTTTAACAGACTATCCACAATTTCCTAAGCCTAAAATCTGTCCAAGTTCATAAACTGTAATGAATGTGCAAGAAGCAAGTTGAAATGATACACTGGGTTGTGTGTATATGTGAGGGTTCTGTGTCAGTAAGTTCCCAGTATGTGATTTAACAGTGGAATACATTTTACACCATAACAGAAATAGCAGATTTACTGTGACCGGCTCACAACAGCATTAGCCTGGGGCTCACATAAATCCAAAGATACTCAGGCCTTTATTCATTAAAGAGCAGATACTGTGGATTTTTCACTTCTTTTTTCTTAGCTGTGATTGAAGGTAAGCTCCATTTCTAAAGAATGTTTTTTGTTAAACATGCTGCACTAAAAGACATTATGAACCAAATATCCTTGTTCTAATTTAATTATATCTGTTGCATTCAGAATTAAAAAAAAATACGGTAGCTGCTTGAAAGGTTGAATATAAATAGTAACTGGTGCAGGAAAACCATTTTAAAATACACCATGCCCTTAATTTCCTAGACCCAAATGCATATTTAGTAGCAGTAAGAGGGAGTTAGATAGGGAG